ATTGACTCAATTTGTTTCAATTTTTTGCAGTCATTAGTTCTTTTTTGGTGATCAAAATGTCACTATTTAGCCAAAGGAATCCTTTAACTGACCCACGTAGCCTTTTGACAGAAATGCACAAATTTTTCAAAGTGTCTTTGCTTTCTGGTGACGAGATATCCCAGGCCCATCTTACACCTTTTGTGTCCCGGATATGCAATCAGCCAATTTTCTAAACCCCAATTCCTTTCTGTGGAAATTGACATTAGAGACCAAACTGTGAACACTATGGGTGTTTATCTGACTTTGTCCTACTGGGATGATCTGACTTGTAGGCCATTTCAGGGGGGAGAGAGGGAACTATATATACATATTATATATATTATATATATAATAAATATATATAATAAATATATATATAATAAATATATATATAATAAAAATATATAAAAAAATATATACACATACACAGACATATATAATAAATTCATAGCCATTTTCAATTTAGTCCTAATATTTCTTCACAACCATAATATTTAAATTCTTAATCCTATATTCAAACTATAATTATGCCTCCTTTTCTTTTAAAATAAATGACTCATATAATTGTCACTCTGAAGCTCTTGATCTATAACAAAGCTAACACGATTACTTATTTATTTTACTTGCCAATAAAATAGATTCAAAACAGTGACATCAGTATTAATACTAAAGATAAAACTGCTAAATGAAATTCACATTTTCGTTTGTACTCGCCTTTGTCCTCAGAGTGCACTATAGGAAACAGAGTAAAATTACGTTAGTCCAGAGAACTCTGAAATTTGGAAGTTCCGTCCAAATGTTTCAGTTCGTTTTCAGTTTGAAGGGGTCAGCATTTGAGAGTTCTGAGTTCTTAAGATTTTAGCTTTTACTTTCTACTTCTGTGGTTGTCTTCAGCCCCTGGCAAAAGGGTACGTCGGTTTTATGAGTTTCATCATGAAGAGAAATAGAAATACCTTGACAGTTCAATCTTCAAATGACTGAACAGGAATTTCACTTAGTCACTGTCTGGCTGACCTGCAATGACTTATTCCAGTGGCATGCGTGAGATTTATATAAGTGTGTCCTGAACAAGCCTGGACAAACCCATTCTGACTTCTACTATTCAATTTCTGCTAATATATTTAGAATCTGCAGCTTCATGTCTCCTATTAAATTTTCATTATACTAAATCCTCTCCTAATATGAGAGCTTTTCGATTATCTTTTGTCTCCACCACCCCCCTGCCAGCTTCAGGTTTTTCTTTTCTCTGTCATAAGATAGCATTCCCTTCTAATCAATATATCAAGGGTGCATGCTAAGTATTGTCATATCAAGCCACATGTCTAAATTATAATAATTATTTATTTAGTTTTTACTATATATAAGCCAAAACAGTTCTCCATGTTGCTGTTTTCTAAATATGGTACCAGTTATGAAGACATCTTAATCTACCTCCAGGAAAAAAATTATATATATATATATATACACACACATATATTAGGATATATGTATATGTATACATGCATATAAATGTATGTATGTATATTAGAATATATACTAGAATGGCATACTGTTGGCAAGGGAGAATACATACCAATGCGAGTTTTTCAGGTTTTGTTCCTAAATATTCTTTTAACTCATAAGGTCATATTCTGACCTTATTTCTCTACACATGTATTTTTCCATTATCAATATTATTAAGTGCAAATAGTTCAGTCATTTACCAAATCTGTGGCTTTTGGATAAATACAACCCAATGAGATATAATTCCATTATACTGTTAAAGAATTATTTTAAATGTTAGATGTTATGCTTTAAAACTTTATCCACAGGTGACTTCTGATGTAGAATGATTAAAAAGACTTGATCTGGTGGTAACACAGATCTGAATCTGTACACACACAAATAAAAATCATATTCTACGGTGGTATCAAGGAGTGGCAGATGCAGGGAAACCTGAGTGAAGAGGAGTCCAAAGGGACAAGCCTGTCACAGATGAGCAGCCAGCCACGGCTGCTGGACAAGTCGCTGAGCTGGGTGGGCGGGCAGAGGAGTGGGCTTACCTTGGCACTGAAAGGCAGCTGGCTCCTCAGGGCTGAGGAGAAAGAGCCAAGCTTTTAGCTACAGTGGGGGCTGGCAGGCTGGGCTGGAATCCTGAAGAGCCCCAGATAAAAAATCAACAAGTCGCACAGCCCTGTGATTGCCCCCTCATCCCCAGAACTGTGCTGAGAAAGGGCAGAGGAGGAGCCGTGGAAAGCAGGCAGCACGTGGGCTTTCTCGAGTGTTCACACAGTGGTTGATGCCAGGGCCCTGCTGGAGTTGAAGCCAGAAGTGAACCCAAAAGCTGATGTTGTGCTCCAATCCCCTCCCAGCCCCAATACTGACAAGATCAAAGACTTTAGCCCCTTGACAGTGGTGGCCCAGCAGTCTGAGTCTTGGGCTAACCAGTGGTGAGCTCAGTCTAATTAGAGCTTTGGCCCAGCTAGCCCCGGCTCAGTCACTCTTGAAATGGGCAGCCCCGCAGAGTAGCCACGAGACAGGAAGAAGTTTGCTCTCGCTGGGAAAGAGAAAACAGAATTGTAAAAGATTCTTCATATTTCAGGCCAAACAATTTATGGAAGACCCCAGTTTTACGATTGTAGCAAATTTTAGTTGTAACATCCTTTAACTGCAATCCCATGTTTACGTTGTATTTACCTCAAATCTTTGCTCTTTATTTGTGGTGTAGAAATCCAACGTGTTAAGTGAAATAAAAATGTACGATGCCTGAAATTCCCAATTTTGCATTCGATGGGATCTGCACGAATGAGATTACCACCTTAAAAAAATACTTAAGAAGTTAAATGCAAATGTTACATTTCTCCTTTCTATGACGCCATCTATTTTTATCACCTTTTGAACTAAAAGATATTTAATATAGAAGGCCCCAAATTAAAAATAATCTTTAAAAAAATAAATTGTTTAACCTAAGAAGAGGTGCAGGTTGACCATCCTCCCTTTTTGGGCTGCTCAAAAACCAAGACTCAGCTGGGATGCAAAACTGCTCCCTGGTCACTTTAAGTGACCGTCTTTGGAAAATTAAACCTGTTATATTTGTTTAATTGTTTATGATCAGTTCTTATCAGCTCCAGAGATATATTTCTTCTTGAGTCTAAGCCTAGCCTATAAAAATAAACTAATAGCTTTAAACAACTTTAATTCAGAAAAATTCAGGTCCATACAGATCCCCTCCCTTTTCTTTTTTCTTTCTTTCCAAATTCACACATTTATTACAAAGCCAAAGATTAAAACATAAAGTCTTTATAAGTCTACAAATGGAAACTCGGTTTTCAATTAAATATCTCTAACTGTTTCTACACAAGTTATTCCAAATAAGCAATTATTTTTAAGACTCTGAGGTCTCTAAGCTTTTTTTTACTCAATAACTGATGAGGTATTTTTATGAATCTCAGCTCTCCAGTGTTTTTGCTCCTTTGGAGGGCAGGTTCCTTATTCTGACCAGTAAGGAAAGGTTTCTACAGATTGGCATGAGCATCCTTTCCACCCCCTTTCCAGTGTGCAGAGGCTAGGAGATGTTGTGGTATTTGGATAGTATTTTGTATGGGCACAACCACATTTAGATCCCACAGGCATTTCACCTTTGTCTTCATTTGATATGCAGTCTGGGGGTCTCAAGTCAGTTTTATACACAGCAAAGGGTTTGTTAGGGTCTCTTTTTGTTTATAAATTAATAGCTACTTTAGTAAAGTTACAAATCCACAAATCTAGCTTCCCTTAACCTTTTAACTTCAACCTGCATATTGTTTTATTTTATTTACAAACCTAATAAAATTTAAAAATCACTATAAGGCGGCTTTTACTCCTTTCACCATTCACTTAATTTAATTATCTTAAACATTTTAAATGACTTTTATAAACTTAGTATGTTTGATATTCTTTTCAAGTACTTCATCTATGTATAAGACTATATCATTCTTATAAATATAGTAAATTAAACTTATTTTTGTATTCCTTTCAGCTTGAACTTAGAAGTCTAAATCAATTGCTTGATTATACATTTTAAGTTGGAATCATAAAACTAATTTTTACATTCTAATTATAAATATAAATATTTTGAAATATTATAAAATTATAAATATTAAATATAAATTACAAATATTTTATGTGCTTATAGCAACACATTCACATCATTCTTAAACTTATCACACATTTTAATAATAAAATATTAATGAAATTAATAACCCATATTATTTTGTACTTACCTCTAAGTTTCCAAGAATTAAAAGATATTTACCCATGTAAGAAAATAAGGCGTCCTAAACAGATTGAGATTCACACTGCACTGAGAATGCATATCTACCAGGCTGATATTCTTGAAAATTGCGATTTTAATGACATCATATGATGTCATATACTGGCACCAGAATTTAGGTTGCGCATTCCTGTTGGTTTGCTCCACTTTTTCCCTGGAGTCAGACTGTGATCGATCGATGCATGGACACACTTCTCTGAATATTTCGTTAAAATAGGCCCCTATAGAAAAGTGTAGTCGTGTTTCAGGACACTTGATATATATTCTCTGATTTTCTTCCCAAAAGCTTGTCACCCGTTGCATCCCCGTGAATATTGTATTGACAATACAATACTTTATGATACAATTATATGACACGATCATCTCCACCGTTTCCTAACCAGCACTAAGTATAATCTTGACCATCATCATCGTGATCATCACCTCTGCCAGTTTGAACGTGGGCAGATGAAGTCTCATTATTTGGGGTTCATTTATTTCGTTGCAAGTGCGGTTGAACGTGCTTTCTATGTCCACTGTGCACTGAGCTTTCGGTGTACCCCTCACCCCTTTGGCCAACAGGTGCGACGCGGACAGGTGGGGATGAGCGCTCCTCACCCCGAGGGCAGGCCCGCGTGCAGCGGCCGCAATCCCGGGCCCCACGGCCAGGGGGCGCTGCGACCTCAAGTCCCCCGCCCCGTCCGGGCTGGGGCGGGCGGCCGGGGTGGAGGCGCCGGCGGGAGCAAAGGTTGGTGACTTGGCGCACCGACCTTCGCCGGAGGGGCCGCGGCATCATGACGGTGGGAGCCAGGCTCCGAAGCAAGGCGGCGAGCAGCCTCCCGCGCCGCGGGCCCCGGGGGCGAGGGCGGGCGGAGGGGGACGAGGAGGCGGCCGCCATCCTGGAGCACCTGGAGTGCGGGGACGAGGCGGCGGAGAGCGGGGCGAGCGCGCGGCGCCCGGGGGCCCGGAGCGCGCGGCGGGTGCACCTGGCCGTGCTCCCCGAGCGCTACGAGCCGCTGGAGGAGCCGGCGCCCGGCGAGAAGCCCAACAGGAGGTACCGGCAGAAGCTGAAGAAGTACGGCAAGGTAGGCGCGCCTCCCCCTGCCCCCGGGGTCGGGGAGTGATGGATCGGCCGGGAGCTGGAGTCGGTCCCGACCGCATGACTGTGCTCAGCCTCCCGCTCCCACCCACTCGCCAGCCTCCCCTACAAGAGCGCCCAAAACTGCTCAATCTGTGACCTGGGAAGTGAGGGACAAGTGAGTTGCAATTAAGGATAGAAATTAAATCAGAGAGTTCACTGGGAACCGCTCCACCCGCTACCCCGCTGCCGGTGGCTTATTTAATAACATTCCCAGCGTTCACTTATGCTAGTTACGTCTTCCCACTCCCTTGTATGGTTAGTAGACAGAAATCAGTGTCCCTATTCTACAGATGGGACTACTGAGGCCTGAGCGTGGTTGGGTGACTTGCAGAAGGTGACCCAGTTGGAAAGCAGGGAGTTGCAGCCCGGTTTATCTGCTTTCTGATACGCCTCTCCAGGATATCCCACTGGTTGAGAGTTGTTTAGATTATTCCCCCAAATATTCCCAAGGTTATTTCCAGGGCCTGGGAGCTCAACAAATACATAAATATGCTCTTATTGAATCTACTTTTGTCTTTTCCCAGCCAGCTGTCTGTGTACTCCGGGGTCTATAGGAGACAGAGAGGGAGAATATGAATATGAATATGGGATAAAATGACAGTTTCCTCCTCAAAGATCAAAGCCCAAAGGCAGTTCCCAGGTGCCTCTGGGGCTGGACAAGTCCACCCAGAAGAAAATCACGTAACTCACAGTGTCCTGGCCAAAGGCCAAGGGCCTTATCTCATTTATTGTCGAGTTATCTGTGTCTTCCAGTGGCCTCTTATCATACCTGAAACCATCCCGTCTCCATACCTAGAAGCTTGGGTTTATCATCCTGTTTAAAGGCATGTCAGCAGCTTAGGGAGCAGTATACAAGCAGTCAGTGGTAAGATATATTAATAAAAGCTGTAAAGTTGGGACTTCCAGGCACAGAGTCATACTTGGACTAATCATCCTTCTTCCTGGTCCAAGTTGAGCACAAAGAAACCACATTTGCCTCTCAGCCGGTGAACTGATAATGTGGAAATCTCAGCTCAGTGGCTGGCACTTGGAGATGTTTTTTTGGGCGCTCACTGTGTGCCAGGCGTTGTGCTAAACCCTAGAGATACAAAAATGGATACGACGCAGTCTTGCCCTAGAGAAGTCCACAGCCTCCCAGGGAGATGCTGGCATAGCTGGGGCCCCGCCATGGAGCTGCATGGTACAGAGCCTGGCAGTTAATCCTGGGGGTGAGGCTGTAACGTCAGGCAAGTTTCAAATCAGTGGTGACGTGAAAACTGGGCACAGAGGATGAGTTAAGGTTTCACATGAGGTACTACTTCACACCCACTAGTATAGCTATATTCACAAAAAGAAAGAAAAAAAAGAAAATAAGTGTTGGTGAGGATGTGGAGAAATTGGAATTCTTGTGAACTGCTGGTAAGAAATGTAAAATGGTGCGGCTGCTGTGGAAAACGATTTGACAGTTCCTCAAAAAAGTAAACAGAATTACCATCTGATCCAGCAACTCCACTCCTAGGTACTGTCAACCTACAAAATCAGAAACCTGTTCAAGAGGCAAAGCGTTTATTGGGGATCAAAGACTTGCAATTTGGGGGGCACAGATTCAAGTAGAGTCCCAAATAGTGTCCTGGTTACAGAAGAGGCGCTTAGGGTTTTTGTGGGGAAAAGAGGAAGATGAGGTGAGTTGTTTTAAAGAAGAGTTCATGGGTGCTAGGTAAGGTAAGGCTAGGTTTGAACTTCATAGATTGGTTGGCGATTTCGTCATTAGCAAAGTCCAGTGTCATCAGGCCTTACAAACAGGATATTCTTGTCCTTACTGCCTTCTTGGAATGTAGGTGGTTTGGTCCAGTTTGGAAGATGAAGAAAACAAGACGTGCAAGGCAATTCCTCTGAAATGGCTGCTCCAGCTCTATTCTAATATGGCTCCACTCATGTCATCTTTCATGGTACATACCCAAAGGAATTGAAAATAGATACTCAAACAAATATATATACACACACAAACATATTCAGAGCAGCATTATTCACGATAGCTAAAAGGTGGAAAAACCTCAAATGTCTATCAACTGATAAATAGATAAAATGTGGTACATACATGTAGTGGAATATTTTTTGTTGATGGTGCCATTGAGTCCATTCTCACTCCTAGTGACGCCCTATCCAGCAGAGCAGAACCCTCCCTGGTCTTTTTGTGCCATCCTCTCCCCTTCCGGCGCTATATCAGACAATGCTCTGCTGCTATTCACAAGGTTTCCATGGCCAATTTTTTCGGAAGTGGGTGGCCAGGTCCCTCTTCCTAGTCTGTCTTAGACGGGAAGCTCCACTGAAATCTGTCCACCATGGGTGACCCTGCCAGTATTTGAAATCCTGGTGGCACAGCTTTCAGCATCCCAGCAACACACAGCCACCACAGTATGACACCCGACAGATGGGTGGTGTGGTTCCCTGACCGGGAAACAAACCCGGGCCACAGTGGTGAGAGCACCGAATCTTAACTGCTAGACCACCAGGGCTGGCTACCATGGAATATTATTCAGCCATAAAAGGAGCTAAGTACATGATACAACATGGGTGAACCTCTAAAACATTAAGCTAAGTGAAAGAAGCCACACACACTAGGTCACATGTCGTATGTGTGATTCCATTTATATAAAATATCCAGAGTAGGTAAATTCAGAGGGAAAGAATGCAGATTGGTGGTTGCCAAGGACTCGGGGGGAGGAGAGATGGCGAGCAACTGCTAAATGGGCATGGCTTTTCCTTTGGGGATGATGGAAATGTTTTGGAAGTAGATTGAATTGGTGGTTGCACAACATTGTGAATGTCCTCAATAGCACTGAACTGAGCACTTTAAAATGGTTATTTTTTATGTTATGTGATTTTCACCTTAATTTTTAAAAAGAGAAAGAAATTCACCACATAGAGAAGGGCTGGCATCCGTGGTGGAGCTGCAGCTTCTGCTTTCTCAGAGGGGACTGAGAAGGTGAGCAGTTAGGCGCCAACGTGGCGGAAGAAAATAGCCGACCCCTCTTGGCTGCAAATCCGTGAGAACAGCCACAGCTCGGCTAGAAATATGGGGAGGTGATTTTTCCTGCTTTAGTGACCAGGTGAAATTTTGTCTTACTTGGGTCCAGTAGAATAAGCAGTGATCTGTAAAAGGCTCCACATTATTAACGAATGGTTTTTCCTTCCAAGAGGGTGATTACAGTTCCTGTTCTTTTGTTAACTGCTCAAATCCTTTGCCCACGTCCCTTCCTGCTTCTATTTAAAGAAAGATACTTGGCCTTTGTGAAATCTGGAAGGATAGGCTTGCACTGCCCTGCTGCCCTGTGGCCCCAAGCAGGGGTCGACCCCAGTGCTGAGCTGATCAGCCTGTCCAGGAGGGTCTGGGCTCAGTAGGCTGTGTGCCTGGGACTCTTGCCGGTCAATGTTCCCGGTTGATTTTTTTTTTTTTTTTTTGCTGAGGAAGATTCGCCCTGAGCTCATATCTGTGCCAGTCTTTCTCTACTTTGTATATGGGTCGCCGCCAATCTTCCTCACCAAAAAAATAAATAAATAAATAAGAGGCCACATTTCCTGGGCACATCTGAGAGCCAACAGGAGAGGTGTGGATGAGGAAAGTAATTAAATTTTGTTAATTGGGCAGCTGGGAGAGGGTTGGAGAAGGAAACTATAGGGTGTTGGAATAACCTTTAGCTCAAGAGTGAGAAAAATCTCCCCACATTCTAAGTAGGGGGTAAGGTCATGGGCACTGGAATCAGACTGCCAGGTGCAAGCCAGCCCTACTGGTTGTGTGTTATAAACCCTCGGGCTATGCTCGCCTCTCTCTGTCTCGACTTCCTTATCTGTAGCATGGGATAATAGAAGGGTGTGGTTAGGAGTTAATGTGTGTCGAGGTCTTAGAGAACATCTGGCGTGTGACCAGGGTTCTGTAACTGTTGGCTGTTAATCCCAGGGCTGGAGGAGAGGCCCCAGATGACTATTTTCTGATTAGTTTTTAATGAGCTCTAACTCAGAAAGAAATCAGCTTCCGTAACCGCCCACCCACCTCAGCTTTACCCCTGGGTCCTGACCGAGTTCACCACTGAAGACTTGACCTTTATATCAGGGGAAAGCAAGCTTTGTTAGGAGTTGGTTTCCTTTTTGAAACTGGAGGGGGCAGGGAGTCGCTGCCATTACTGGGGGTTCACTGACTACCGAGGAGCCCCCAGGAAGCCGCTCTCGCTGTATTATTTCCCTGTGACTGCTGCAACAGATCGCTGCAAGTGTAGTGGTTTCAGACAACACAGATTTATTCTCCTACAACTCTGGAGGTCAGAAGTCCGAAATCAGTCTCACTGAGCTCAAGTCAGCAGGCTGGTTCCTTCCGGGCGCTCCAGAATCCATTTCTTTGTTCTTGCCAGCTTCTAGAGGTCCCAGTCCTCCATCTTCACAGCCAGTAGCAGCATCTGCCTATCTCTTTCTCTCTGTCCCTCCACTTCTGTTATTATGTCACCTTCTGTCTGACTCCTCCTGCATCCTTCTTATAAGGATCTTTGTCCTTATTTGGATTCTTATAAAGATATACGAATCCTTATGGTGATTGGGCACACCTGGATAATCCATGATACTCTCCCCATCTCCAGATCCTTAATTGAATCACATCTGCAAAGTCCCTTTTGCCATATAAGGTCACATATTCACAGATTCTGAAGATTAGGACATGGGCATTTTGGGGGGGCCGTTATGCAACCTACCACGCTCCCCCATGCCCCTCCACCCCTCTGCGACATTATGTGGGTCGAAAGCTCTACTAAGATCAAAGACTTCAAAATCTGCTCCCTGGAATGACACTGAGGTGGTCGTTGAAAGATATTTTACGTTTCTTTGCATCGCCTTTCTCAAATCTGTGTTTTGACAGTGTTCCAGCTAATGAGCTATTTTAGTAGCTTTTTTCTAAGCTGCAAAGATGAAGTGACAAGCAGTTTTTTAAAACCGCAGGCTGAGGAAAATGAATGTACAAACACCCAAAATGTCAAGTGTAACGCAGGTTATCTGGGATTCTGGTGGCATTGCTTATAAAGGATGCTCTTGACTGTTATACTTAATCCCAGAGAACAATTTTTTTGTTGTTGCTATTTCAAACAGGTAAGTAAAATTCTCCCACTGAATCTTATTATGCATTTATAGAGGTGACTCTCTTAGCAACATCGTCCCCCACACACACGGACATGCATGCACTCTAAGGTCTCATTGAGAAGTTGATGGGACAGTGTCCCAGGAATCAGTGTCTAGAGAAGCCATTGATGCTCCTGGCTCTCCCAGAGCTCCTCCTTTAGCCCGAGAGCCACCAAAGGAACCCCCCAGGCCCTTCCTCAGTGCTGGGGCTACAGTGGGGGATGAGCACAAGAAAGTCCCCACCCTCATTCTGTTATCATGAGGACAATGAAAGCTGAAGCCAGAAATCATAGGAAAGTACACTCTTAAGAAACGTTCCTGAACAGATAACACAATATCTTAGATTTCTATAGTATCACCACCCACTTCAATTACTATGTAATAAAAAGAGGCAAATGTTATTTTACAATAAAAGTAGCTGAAGTTTGGGACCACTTGTACTGCCTGCAGTTACGCCAGGCTCTTTTCTAAGTGCTTTCCTTGCATAAACCCATTTAATCCTCTTAACGACCCAATGAGGCGGTTACTAAATATTCCCCTGTCCAGCACCAGGCCTTATAGAAAGGGAGGAGGAGGAGTGGGTAGCAAGAAAGCATGGCCCAGTCGCTACCCTCCAGGAGTTTATCGTTGTATTGGAAACCCGGGACTGCTGTGGATGCAGCAATCAGAGAACAGCAGGAGACTTTAAAGACAAATGTGGGGGTCAGACAAGAATTAGACTTTAAAGACAAATGTGGGGGTCAGACAGGAATATGTCCTGGAGGTAGAGAGAGGACAGGGTGGGCTCTCAGATAAGGCAAATGAAGGAGAACTCAACCCAGCCATCAGATGATCCAGTAACTTAGCTGGAACAGAGGAATGGGCTTTGGTTTAAAAACGAAAACAAACCTGGTTTGTTTTAGAACTAGCAGCCTCACTGCTCTTTCCAAGATCTCTGAATTATCTGGAAATATGCAGTGCATGAAAGCACTTTGCAAGGTGATGAAGTCTGTTCTGAGCCCCCACATGTTCTTATGTTGGGGGTGAGGGTGGGGCGCCAGAGATGTGGAAGTGTGGTAACTTGCTCATTGGTCCTGGGAGAAGGAGGCAAAGTGATTCTTTATGTATGTCACCATGGTGCCTGAGGGATGACAAAGTGGCCTGCACTAACCCCTTGCTTTTCTCTTCTGTTCTGAAAACTAGAATGTCGGGAAGGTCATCACCAAAGGATGTCGCTACGTCGTCATTGGCCTGCAGGGGTTCGCGGCGGCGTACTCCGCCCCATTTGGAGTAGCCACCAGCGTGGTGGCGTTGGTCCGCTAGTGGGAGCTGCTGGGGCAGACCCACAAGAATGGATAGAAGCCTCTGCCCTGGGAGCAGTGCGAATCCAGGAGCATTTCAGACTTGAACTCACAAATACTTGGAAGAAAAAAATGTCTTTGTCAAATTGGATGACTTATGAATGAGTCATCCCTGCCCATCTTTTCCCATCTCTCGGACACGGATGGCTCCAATGGACAATCCCGCAGAGCATTAGGCCGAGGTTAGGATTGGGGTTAGAGTTAGTTTGCTAACACCGGAGCCTTCACATGAAGCTGACAGGGGGCTGGCTTGGAGTCAAGCACTTGACAGATGTGAGCACTCTGGGTGGGTGGCCAGAGAGGTGATTAGGAAGGAGAAGAAAGAGTTTTGACCTGGAGTAAGATGATGTGTTATATTCTCCTGGAAAGGTTGCAGGCTGACCGCCCTTGGCTGCCTGGGTTCTGAAGGCAGGGAAGGAGCTGTTTGTGTCTGAAGTTCTGCCCCCCATCTCCTTCCTCCACCCCTTTGTCACCAGGAGTTTAATTACAGGCTTGAGAAGAAGGAAGGAAGAAAAATCTCTTTGAAGGCTATGATGCTTTGAAAACCATGTTGCCGATGTGTCATGACTGTTCAAAGCAGATAAAAGCTTGTTGTGTTCGCCCTTCTCTGCCACGAGCGTGCAGTTGGCAATGAGGGAAGGAGGAGCGGCGAGTTCAGACACAGCTTGTATGAGGGAGTGCTCCTGAGGGCTCTGGTGCCCAGTCCAGCCAAGAACAGCCCTGTCTGGTCCAGCCACATGTTTGTGGCTGCCTGAGGTCCTGGGCCTCCTGACTCAGCTGCCTAGTACCATCAGCTCATTCCCGACAGCTGCTCAACTCGTCTTCTACGCCAGGCCGACGAAGGGTGCTGGGTCTTGGGAGAGAGGGAGACACTACGCTTGGAAATGAAAGTGTATGATTTAGAGAAGAAACCAGTAAGTAGGAGACAGGGATGAAGGAAGTAGAAGAAGGAAGTTGGATGAGAGAAGTGGAAGTACAGGAGCCGGGTCTGGGTTATTGGCACTGGGAGATCTTAGGTGGCCCAGGGGAGGCTGGTGGCCAGAGGCGCTGTGGCTGGTGCTTAAAACCCCTCTGAGGCCCATGAGCTTACATTGGCTGCCTCTGTAGCATCCTTTCCTCTTCTGTGCTGCCCAGTTTGATGTCATCTCACCCGGATTCCGAGTTAGGGTGGGCATGGATCCTGGGCCTGACACTCCCCGAGGATGAGCCGTGGACCGCTGTTGGACCACTGGACAGGGAGGTAAAGAAAGAGGAGGTCCGTCTTACCATGCCCCTCTGCCGACCCCCATAATGGGCCGCTGTTCTGACTTTGTTTCCAGAATATCCAGAAGTCCCGAATAGTTAACTTGCTGATCAGTCTGCAGGATCGGTGGCAACGCCTACCTGTTGCCCCAAGAAGTTTCCCAGGCCATGCCAAGGGGGTTTGGCTTGAGGCCTCAGGTGGCACTGGGAAGTGGAGAAGGTGGGAGGACTGACAGATGGACAGAGAAAGGAATGGGTGAAGGAGAAAGTGGTAGCCGTGAAACTAGAGTCTGCTTCCTGTTCTGGAGGCTCACGTTGAAGGTGAACTTGGACCCAGTTCCCACATCAGTAATATTTGTGAGGAGAAGAGAAAACACATGGTCTTGTTTTAGCTCCAATGATGAACGTTGATCATGGTACGTTTTCGCACGGGTAAGATGATTATAGCTTGCCTGCCGCGCTGGGAGTCAGGGGGAAGAAGAGGTGGGAGAAGAAGCAAAGTGCAGTTAGTCGGAAAGGGGTCAGGTCTGTGTGGCCTGCTGGTCACAGGAAAGGGAGACGGGAGGAAGGAGCCTGTGGTGGGTTTGAAGGCTGCCAGGCCTGGTGGCCCAGGGATACTGACCAGCCACAGAGAAGCCCACCGAGTGGCCTCGGGGACATGGAGGTGTGACCCGGGGAGGGGCAAGAGTTGCTGAGGCCTGTCCCAGGAGGGCCTTCCCCATCCCACCCCTAAATCAGAGACACCATAAGGCCAAGCACATTTGGCTCTGAAATTCTTGAAGTCTGGTTAAGAATTAACCTGGAAATTTCAAAAGTCGAAATCTCGCCGGGATTGTCCCGGGAGCCAGATTCACGTGTACAGAAGGTGAACTTCTCCGAACTGTCCCTCAGCCTGAGTAGTCATTTCCCCCGAGATAGGGCACCCATGTGGGGGATTACCTTTCTGCCTTTTCTTTCTTTGCGGTTTTTTTTTTAAGTATCAGTGTCCGTACCCTGCTACAAATTGAATTTTAGAGCTTTCTCTGTTCATGCTTGACCAAACAGCTGCTTTTGTATCCTCTCTTGCCCTATTATGTAAGTAAAACCCCCAATTTGTTTAATGTTTCTGTGTGTGAAGAGTTTTTCTCCCCCTCATGGGGGCGGGCCCCCCGAGGGAGGGAGAGGGGCCTTGACTCGACTGGGAACTCTGCCTGGGTGTTAAAGGGGGGACATTCTCGAGAAGCCCAGCAGAACAGGCTTCCATGTGCAGGACACTCCGCTCATGCGTTTGTTAAAAATGAAAATTTCCGGAACCTCCCATTTGGATTTAGAGTCTAGCGTGGTGTCAGGAAGCTGCATGTTCCACAAGCAGCCTAGAAGATTCTGAAGCAGCTGTTCCTCTGCCTGAGCTGGGAAATGCTGGCCCCCAGAGGCCTGCTGCAGGTTGCCTCTGCCAGCAGGCTCTAAGGTGGGAGCCTGAGGTCTGGCCCGAGCAGAGGCGGGGGGCCTGCCAGTTGCCAGACCCATACTGGGCATGTTACACTGAGTCCTCACAGAAGCGGAGGGAAAGGTCTTGGTGGTGGGGAAGGTAGAGAGGAGAGGAGTGGCTCTGGGCAGCCGTCAGATTATCCCTCAGGCAGGGTTGGGGGCCACGTGTGTCAACCTGCTGAAGCCAGGGACCTTGATGTATTCGGCCACCTTGGAATCTTCCCTGCTGTCCTTTCTCCCAGCACCTGTACTTTGCTGGAGAAGCCCTGACTGGCATCCGTGACCAAGAAGCACCCAGAAGCAGGACTTGAACTCAGATCTTAGATCTCCTTCTGCACCCCGCCAATAGTCTTGAGCATGGTAGTGCCCTCAGCAGGAATGGTTGTGGGGTTGGGAAACAAACCATCACTGCAGTTTCAGATTTAGGCAGCTGCTGTTATGGGGTTTGCACCCGTGATACCTTTTTCCAGCTCCTGACTTTGCAGGAGTACAGGTAAACTGAATTTAACTTTCTGATGCCATCATCCTCAAAATGTTTTGAAAACTTTATAGCTCTCCCTGTAAACTTATAATACAAATTATACATAAAATAAAGAAAAAATAATGCCCTCAACATCCTTGTAAAGGCTGCATTCAAGAGACTCCGTGATTTTGCCAAAAGCCCACATGGTTCCTGAGTAAAAAATCCCAAACTCCCTTGACCATTCATGGGGAAATGTGGGAAAAATTAATAATACATGGGATTATTTATTTTTTTTAGAGACAAGGTTGTTTTTGAGCCAAACCGCTCTACTGAACATCGTTGCCGTGGGAGAAAGGAGGTCTCTTCAGATTTTCTGGAAAGGCTCGGTGCCAGAGCCCGGTGGGTGCACAAGCCACAGATGGGCAGAGGCTAGGAGGGAAAGGGAAGGTGAGAACAAAGTCTCACTTGCTGACGCCCGAGGTCAAATCTCCAACCCCGGGGATGCTCCATGCCTTCCACCTGCAGCTGCATCCAGAGACACAAATCAGGATCCGAATTCAACACCTCCAGGCCTGGCTTTGCTTTTTTTAAAGGTGTCTCTCAGGTGATTCCTCTTGCATAACCTGTAGACAAGGCTCTAAACAAATGTGTCTGGTTCAAAGCAGACGTAAAAATCAGGGCGAAGGTGCCGACAGACACAGAGCTAAGAGCGCACACCTCCTTTCTTAACTGAAATTAAACTTGCTGTTTAATTTCACAGTAAATCACATCCACCCGGACTTGCTTTCTTCACTTAAAATGGAGAGAAATAATTTGTTTTGTTTTGCTTCCTATGAGAGATGTTTAGATTTGCTGCAGAAGTAGAAAGTGGTGAAATAACACCTATTTTTAATTTTTAATTTTTTGCCGAGGATCTACCCATTCGAAAAACACTTTACAGGTTTATCTTCTTTAATCACTGAAGGAGCCCTTCAATGCCCACAGTAATGGAGCTGGGAATCAGAGACGCCTTCTGTTGCTGATGATGGTTTGTGTATTTTGAGTTCTTTAGAGTTGAGGAGAAAAATATGTTATTTATGAACTTTCTTTATCGCCATCATTTTTCCATGCAAAATCAGACTTGAATTGTCTTGCAGTGTTTTCATTTCAATAAATCGGCGAGCCATTCCTATGATCCCACAAGCCCCTGATTCTGCCTGCTCCCCCTGATCAGGGTTCTGCTGCGTGTAGGACCAGAGAAGAGAATGAAGATGTGGTAAGCATCTCTGGGTACAGGCACTCTGCTGGATGGCTTAACCACAGCATTTTATCTAATTCTCAACTTCACTTCCTTCTCAATAACAAAGTCAATGAGATAGAGACTATTATTATTGTCTCGGTTTTATAGATTAGAAAACCAAAGCTTAGGGAGGGTGGGGAATTCCGCTCCAATGCTGTGGCAGGAGGCTGTGAAACCAGGACCCGTGGCTGTGTGCTTTCTCCCAGTTTCAACTGCTTCTCATTTCTATTTCCTCTTAGAAGTCTGTTACCACCAGTGACCATGAGGAAGAGGGAAGCTTTAAATGTAATCACATCCAATGAGCATTCCTGGTTCCAATATTGTGATGCAAGGAGTTAGAAACACTCCAAAAAAAGACTCTAGCTGCTTACCAACCCATCATACTCGATTTCTGAGATGCTGTTTGCCAAGGTCGGGGCACAGAAGGGAGGATGCAGAGCTGGGCCCTGGAAGGGACCTGTGACCCTAAGTCAGTGTGACTGAATTTACTTTATTTTGCCAAACTTCCTTGGTGTGATTTCTGCAGCCACAGTTACTATTCCCATTGACTGATAACTATTCTCATGGAGCCAGCCTTCCATTGTTCACCCCAGGGGCCCAGGGGCCACATGCCAAAGCCCCAGGGCCAGCAGGAAGCCACTCTGCATAATAGGAACAGAGCCGGCATAGGACAGCCTGGCTTCAAATCCTCCAGCCGTGTGACCTTGGACGAGTTCCTCAGCTCCTTTGAATTTCAGGGTTTGGCTTGGTTTCCTCTCAAAAGTAGAGTCAATAGTGTCTACTTCAGAGGCTTCTTCGGGAGATGAAATATGGAGTGTGTTAAGAACCGAACATGTAGGATATTAAGCGTCCTCCTTCCCCAGCTGCCCCGAGCTGAGATGAGCAGTGGGGGGAGAGCGGAAGAGTTCCCCTAAACTCATCCCTTATCTGCTCTGAGCGGCTTCCAGGTTCACAGTCAGAGTAGAGCCCCATCTTACCCTCTGCTTGAAAGCAAACCCTGTTGGAGCTGCAGGGGAGCTGGGGTGGGCGTGGAGCTCAGGAGCAGCAGGAGGGAAAGGATCAAGGAGATGAACAACTTATCCAAGGGGGGTGGCTTGAGGTGGCAGGAAGGGGTTTGTTTGTGGCTTTTAGTCTCTTCCAGCCACCCCAGATGAGGAAAGACTGAACATCACCTTGAATTCAGTTCCGGTTTGCCACTGGCCTTGTTTCCAGACACCCAGACTTGCCTTATCTGTGCCATGGCCATGCATAAGTCCTGCCAACCCCCCCCCTCCCCCGTGCACGGTGTTCAGAGGGGAACAGGCAGCCTGAGGATCAACAGGAGGGCCCTGGGGGCTCTCAGGAGGGGTGCCAGGGGGTCTCCCTCACCCCTCATTGCAATCATGCATGTGAGAACCTGGAAGGTAAATATGCACTTCTGTCAATCACCCAAGGAGCCTCTTGATTTGTGTTCATTTGTTCAAAAAATAAATTTTTTTAATTGAAATATATTTGACATACAACCTTCTATAAATTTAAGGTGAACAACATGTTGATTTGATACATTTATATATTGTAATATGATTGCCATTGTAGCGATAGCTAGCACCTCTATCACATCACAGAATTTCATTTTTTTGTGGTGGGAATAATTAAGATCTAGTCTCTCCGCACGTCCAATGATTACAATACAGTATTGTAGTCTGTGTTCACTATCCTGGGCATTAGAGCTCCAGGACTTACTTATCTATGTGCTAGTTGCAAGTTTGTACCTGTCGGGGGAAGAGGGAGAATCTCCCTCTGCCCTTTCCCTTAAGGTTCTTCTGGCTGGCCAAATAATCAACAAGACAGGTTAGCAGGAGAAAATAATACCAAGTTTAATAACATGTATACATGGGAGAAAGCAGGGACACTGCGTTTCTCAACAC